GATAGACAGTAGACGATGAATATTTTCATACATATTTTCAGTGGAGGAAAAGTAAGCAGTTTTGGATGAAAAAATCCTCACTCCAAACTATCAGAAAAGGATCCAAAAACAAGGTAATTTGTTTGTATCAACTAAGTTGAAATTGTAAATTGGCCACCATAAAGAGCTAAAAAACGGAAGTTTCGACCACTTTTTTCCCGCACGTCTCAAGGGCACAACTCCTTGCCCCGGCTATGACTCGAACCCGGGTCGTCCGACTCGGAGCTCGGTGCACTGTGCACTGACCACTAGACTGCTCAGACAAAGCCGTGGCGTTGGCGTGCTCGCGCTACAGTTGACCAAGTATTCTAAAAGTAACACCTTGTAAGCATGCCCGCACGGTCATAAGTCCAAATATCTGCGGCTTGATGGATTACTACTACCATTTTGTATAATTATCGGGCTTCGATGCGCGCGCTGCGAGCTCTGTCATCCTACTTGACGATCAGGCATGCGAATGACTCAAGGTCCGAGTTTCCGCGCCAAAACCTACCGCGTGCGCATACGTTATTCAGCTCTGTAACAGGTAACTCAATCTCGATCGGAGAGACACGAAGAATCCCGAAGAAAAATATCCATCTCCAATATGGAAAGCCAATTTTATGATTTAAAGGATAAACAACAAAATTAAAGACTCAGGGGTAAGGCATATTTTCAGTGTAAAATTATACGTAGGTAGTGCATGGCTTTCATCCTCTTTATAAAGCCACAATGCTGATAATATGTGTCTGCAAATTTTTTTCAAGAAGCGAGTCGTCTAGCACGCGTATGATAGGGGTCTTAGTTTTCGTAATTACGAAAACTAGGAGGGGTCTTAGTTTTCGAAACTACAAAAACTAAGACCCCTAAATTTACCGTTAAATTTGACCTAAAACTCTGAGGAAAGAATCGGACAGGAAATAATTTGACAGATTAGACCTATTTTGGTTACAATTTAACTTTATATTTCGACCGATTCTATTATAGGGGGTCTTAGCTTTCGTAATCTCGAAAACTAGGACAAGTCATAGGTCTTGGGTCTTAGTTTTCGTAAAACCCCGACGCAGTACTACAGTTTTGTTAGAAACTTACTCCCTTGATCCAAAAACAGGCTATTGCGAGCGGACAACCTACGAAGAAGAGAATGCGAAGATCTTTTATTTTCTTGCCAAGATCATCAAGGATGTTCTGTTCTGTTAAGGATCTTTGATATTCTTGGCAAGATCTTTTGAAGATCCTTGAGGACGCGAACAGGGACCTCAAAGATCTTTACAGGAAAATGAAAGATCCTGGAAGATCTTGGGAAGAAAATGCAAGATCCTCGAAGATCTTGGCAAAAGAGTGCAAGACCCTTGAGGGTCTTAGCAAGAAAATGCAAGATCCCTGAGGATCTTGACAAGAAAATGCAAGATCATTGATGATCTTGACAAGAAAGTTCAAGATCTTTGAAGATCTTGGCCAGAAAATGAAAGATCCTCGAAGATCTTGCCAAGAAAATGTAAGATCCTTGAGGATCTTAAAAAAGAATTGTGAAGATCCTCAAAGATTTCTCAAAGATCTTCATGAAGATCCCTGGTAGGATTCTCAAAGGTCCTCATGAAGATCCTAAGAAATCCTTAAAGATCCTCCAAAGATTTTTACCAGGGTTTGACTTCCTAGTTTTGGACAACTCTAAAACATTCACGGAACTCAGAGATTCAAAGATGTATTCACGTTTAGTGACTTTTGACCACAAAATGCGACATGTACCTCTGTTTATATGTACTGTGCTGAAAACTATAACGGTATGAAAGTGCGGCTGGTTTAATGGCCCTAGCTTATACGACGTTGTAAGGGACCGGATTTAGGAGGGCTTGTAAATAAAGAGCCTTACAAACAAGCCTGTAATTTATATATCTGAGGGGGTTTAAATCAACCAGAAAAGAAGGAGCACTTTGAAACAAGCTATATCAGTGCTTATCAAACTATGTTTTGCACGAACAAATTGAATTCATTTGAATACATTTCGAACAGAATTGAATCAAAAACTAACAACCTGAACAAACTTGAAACATAACAAAAATGAACTTCAGAATCTCTCCTTGAAGCTCATGTTTCCTCTTAAAACATTAAAAATTTTAATGTCTAATTCACACCAGTGGGGCTTCCAGCTTTGTTATTATTTAACCCCTCCTCCTCCCACTAAATAATTTTTTTTTCATCTGCATGAAGCAGCTTCTTTAACATGTAAAACAGATCCATTATGTTTTCCTTTGCACCCAGACTTTCCCTGCTGATCATCTCTGTCAGCAGTAAGCGTTCTCATTTCAATCTGCTTTTAAAAATAGCAGCATTAAATTATCTTATGCTATATAGAAAATTCACTCAAATGATTAGAATAGGCCACTACATGTATGGGTAAAAGTGAAGAGCAGTTCCCAAAAGATATTGTCGGCTGACTGCCGGTCGACAGTTGGCCAACAGTCGGCCGACCGTCGACCATCTGTCGGTCGACAGTTGGCCAACAGTCGGCCAACAGTCGGCCGACCGTCGACCATCTGTCGGTCGACAGTTGGCCAACAGTCGGCCAACAGTCGGCCGACCGTCGACCATCTGTCGGTCGACAGTCGGCCAACAGTCGGCCGACCGTCGACCATCTGTCGGTCGACAGTCGGCGGAACGGCGCGATCGACAGATTTTTATTTACTGTTTTCAACAGGAAAGGTGGTGACTCTATTTTTGGTCAATTTTTAGTCTACTTATCCCTGTCGGCTGAGTGTCAGTAATGTGTCAGTAACCTGTAGGCCGACAGGTTACCGAGAGTCGAAAATGAGAACATTGTTCAGTATTAACACATGCACGTACCCTGTTATTCAATATAATCATGGAGGGGAGAGCTGCACCAGCAACTAAAACATTGAATTCTGTCGAATCAATATGATCATCCTACATAATTATATAACACGAGAGGTGATATTGAACAATGATGTCAACATTCCTGCATAGTCTTAAACTTTGCTGAATAAACTTGCTCTGTTTCTTGTTTGGAATAATGGCCAGAACATTTGTTGTGGTGTGGTGAACGACGAAGATATAAATGCATTTTCTGAACAACATGAGGAAGAGAACACCGTAAAAAGTAAAGGCTGATAGTTTCTAAAGAAACTGTTTGGGGCTGCCTCGGTGGGGGTAATACCAATACATCAACAAAGTTGAAATGGTAAATTGGCCACCGTTACGATTATAAAAGCTGACGTTTCGAGCGTTAGCCCTTCGTCGGAGCAAATAGAGGAATTGTGGGTTGTGGGGGCTTTTGAAGGCAGAAAATGGAGCTACGTGATTGGTGGGAACATGGCAACGAGAAAAACACGAATAAAAGTACACAACGAGTTTTGGTGCTCTCGAAGACGTTTATTCAGCCATCAACGACTCCGCTGTTTTTCGCGCCCGAGGAACTATTACATAATCGGAACACGTGTGTCGCACGTGTTCGCTCACGTAACTTGTCACATCTTCCCCGTTTTAACAATAACGCAAATGAGTTAAACTAATTAACAAAGGATTACAAATGCAGATAATCAATAAACAATTAATATGTGTTTAGTATTGTGGGTAGGGTAGGAACCTCCCCAGGTGGCTGTGGAAGGTCACCGCCTTCGGCTGCTTCCCACTCGTCAGGCACTTGATTGTGTGATTCTCCAGAGCTAATGAGCTGTCGGCTGTTTCTTCCATAGGTACCAGCCTCTGTCTTGATGGTGTAACTCCTAGATCCTTTTTTATCTAAGCACTGACTGGGTGTCCATCTTTCTTGACCTGGTAGCATCATTCACACAGTGTCACCAACAGTGATGGGCTCCAACGGCACGCTGTGCTTGTCATAGTAGAACTTTTGCCGTTGCCTTTTGCCCAAAATCTTCCGGGTGTCGTCTCCCGTGGGGTAGCTGGGTTTTAGGAGGGTGCCCGCTATTAGAATCAGTGTCTTGCATGTGCGCCCGAAGAGGCGCTGGGCTGGGCTGGGCTGGGCTGGTCCCAATGCTAGTCGTTGGTGTATTGCGCCAATCAAGAAGTGCTTGAAATTCAGACCCCCCAGACGATTTGCATTTCTTGAACAATCTCTGTTTCTGAAACACTGTTGAACTTTACATGACGTTAAGGTATTATGACGCAACAAACTTACTCTTTGCGAAGAAACCACTGACCAGCACTGAGTTGAACAGACTGACTCGCTTCTCCCACTGGCAAACGCCAAGAGTTTCAAAACGAGTTACGGTGCGTACTCTTTCACTTGACTGCCTGGATTCCAGGAAAAAACATTTTCTAACGTAGCACGAAAAATGGAAAGAGAGAATGGAGCATACGCAAGCTTGCATTAGTTGAGTATGATCCTAGCACCAACGCACGCGCTCTCGTCGTTGACAGATTCCTCGAATCGCCTTTTTGCCTTGCTATCTCTTTTGTTTTTTTTTTTTTCTCTTTACACGAGGGGCCCAAGTGAGTAGCGCCACGAAACTATAACATCGGAGGCCTGTAAAATGTCAGAGAGTAGTAGCAGGCATGAAAGTTGACAAAGAAAATTAGTTCCCACCCAACATCCGCATTGTTTGGCTTTTATTGATGGGCTTTCAGCCAATGCATGCATTGGAAAATGACAACTGATTCCCACTCATGGAAGCTCGTGCATCGATCATTAATTACGTTTGGGCACTACTGTTTTTGGACGCAAGCAACACAATTCTTTCAGTGTGAGGACCAATAAAGCATTTTTAATCCGCTAGTTGCCAATAACCTTTCACGATAATCCTTATGCAAATCTCGGAAAGGCAACACGTGAAAACGTTACACACAGACACTTACGTGCATATATAATTCCCTAAACACGTGCGCACAAATCACACTTAACACAAGTTAACTGTAACGGTCTGCCTAGCAAAAGACACACTCTGTCTTCGCAGAGATGGCATATGCCTTGAGAGTACAAGTAGCACGGAAATAAATGAAAATACTTCCAAGATGAAAAAGGTAATTTTTAATTTAAATCGCATATATACAACAAAAGCGAGATTGACTATGGATCACAAGTCAATTCATATTTACAATTAAAATAACTTATATCCTGGTTGAGGACTTCTTCTTCTGTGGTAGCAACATGAGCTGTCATGAATGATCTGTCCTTTAATAGTGTCATTCGCTAAAGTAAACCCAATACCAGTATCGATCGAAAAGAAACACCGACTTACCCGCTACTACATCAACCGCTTATGTCTCAAGAAATATTAGTGAAATCTGTATCAACCAGTTACGCGATTCAGACAGTTTGAAATCCGCTCTTTAATACTTTGAAACACGTTGATGAAAGTTGTAACAGAGACACAATGTGTACGCATTCCCATAGATACACATCCCAGGCGGCAAATAATACAGGGGTAGGGAAGATTTGATCGTCTAGTTTGATATTTTAAGTCTGCTCTATGGGAAAGGGCCATTTAATAATCACACTGCGGCAATTGAATCTTTTTTTTTAGGTTTAAAAGTGTGAACAATTTTTAGATTGAGATGAACGAGTTCTTGCCCGACAAGAACTGGGAAGGGGGTAGTGGGATGGTAATTTAAGCTACTCTGAATTAACAGTTGAGCTTGGGGTTTCTCTGCAGTGTCCGTTGGATTTTAAGTAGCCGGAGTGTGACCCTTTCCGCCCCTAACCCTAAACGTTTATACTCTGATGATGTTGTTAATCACAAGAGTGAAAAGTACAATTCATATCCACCGACCTCCCGCCAACAACAGCATGGAAAGATAAATCTAAATATGTTCGTTTGTCCCCCTTACATTCTCTTCACGCTTAAGCGAGGCTAAGCCACTTAAAATAACTTAGCTGGCTTCAAGGCTTTTTGTTTTCTGTCTCGTTGATGAATTTTCAGATGCATCTGGGCCATAAGAGGGGACTGGAGGCAATTTGGGAAGTTCTGTGTCTGGACCAGGCCTTTGCGCTACCCTTGATGAAGTCGAGTTGTACTGGTAACCTGCCGCGATCCCTGGATCTAAAAAGGGAAAAACATAACCCAACTGTTGAAGACGCTTGCCACATAATTATGAGCATAATATATGGCCGAGCTCCTCAGCGAGTTCTCTGTACTTCATTTAACTGAGTACATTGAGGGCCTAAAAGAGTTTTCTACCAGACTCATCTTTAGTAAAACGATTTGCCAGGTTGGTGTGAAAATACCTTCTTTCCCGATATCGAGGCTCTCTAATTCTCGTTCCAGTTCCTCCATCTCATCCGGGCCTATCCCAGATGCCTCAGAAAGCCGTACATTACCTGAAGCAAGGAAGAAGATTCATTTTTTGCGGGTTGATACGCGCATGAAAAAAGAGGGGAGACCAGAAATAAACAAGTAACACAGGAAATACGATTGAAATTAAATTAATTTAACAGCCTATCAGAAAAAAGACAAGTCGATCAGGAGGCAAAGAGAATTTGGAGTATATGTTGTAGTTCAATTTTATACTTGGTTCAAATTTTATTTTCCTTTGTTCTCGGTCATGTTAAAGTATGATAATGAGTTTGAAACAAAGGAAAATAAAATTTGAACCAAGGATAAAATTGAACTACAACATATACACTTCTAACGACCAACACCACTTACTGGTATTCAAAAGCATAAAAATCGTAAGTGTTTCAAAGACACGATTTTGTTTGAGTTTACATCTCATTGTAGAGAAAAACCAGTGCAACCTAGATTTCTCTTGAAATCTTACCGAAAATTTATCCCTAAGTTTAGACTATGAGTTTTCCCTCCTTCTCAGTGAAGTCCATCTCGTGAGTAACAAAAAATCAGTGGAAAAAAATTGACGATAGCGAACCGCGTGGAACTCCGGGAGTGAGACACACGAAAAGTAAGGACTCCTGACTGAGAAAGAAAGTTTAATCTTGCACGGCAGAGTGTTTTCTTTTTATGTCCGCCTAACTCCCAGAGTTCTGCGCGGTACGCTAACATTAATGATTTTTTTCACTGATTTCTTTTGACTCGCGCGACGGACTTAACCGAAAAGGAGGGGCTATCTACTCTGAGAAGTGAGAAATATGAAACAATTCGATTCACCTCACCTTCCAATATCGCTGAATTTATGTCTTGAGATTCATTTATTCCCTGCATCAAAGTAATTCAAAGAGACACTTAAAACTGCTCTTTCTCAGTCCGAATGCAACAATCAAACGCCTCGCTAAGAACATGATACATGTCTACACTTCTCCCACTGGTGGAAGTGGGAGAAGTGTATAATAAACAGTGTATAATTAACACCAAATCAGTGTATAATTAACACCAAAGGTGTTAAGCTGATTTATAATTGAACAGAATCAATGAACTTCATCATATATTTTGTTATGTGACAATTTTATTTTACTGCTCTCCTTATCTTTGTTGTCGGATGTTTTACAAACCAGCTCCACACTGGATCAATAAAATAATTGTACAGACTAAAAATACAGAATTTGAGCGACTGAAATTTGTGATTTTAAAATGGATGTACTAAAAATGGGACTTGAACTATGTGTCGTGCACTTTTGGTCCAAAATCAAAATTGCGCTGTGCACTGGTTTGATTTTGAAATCATACTTATGATTTCAGGCTAAATTGCACTCCACACAGTTTAACCACCATTATGAATTATCACCTTCATGATTAAATTTTTGGTTATTGTCATGTTAGAAAATGTTTCTGGAAAAGGAAACCTGAAAATGCACTCACTTCGTTAAGGTCATCGATTACATCCTCGACCTTATCGATTGTCATTTCTGAATGTCCACCCTTCAGTGCTGCTGTTCCTGCCCTCAAAGCCTCGATAACCTAAAGAGAGAAAAAAAGGAAACGCAAACTCAGGAGATTTACCATGGCACAAAAAAGCTTTTAAGTCTTAAACATTCAAGCCTTTGCTGCAGTCAATGTCCAAGATACTATAGCTGGAGTTAATAGGGGGATATCCTTGTGGTACAGTGTACATCTTTTTCAACATGTTGTAGAAAGTGGTACCAGCCAACAACATTTCACAGTTTGCAGGTACTCCACCTTTGCTCCCTCAAACCCATCCCCTCCCCTCCCCCCTGAAGCAAGAGAGGGGGTAATGAGGGTGGGGCAACAACCTGTCCATTAACTTTAACAAACTGCTGAGCCTGCAATGGACTACAGACTATATGTACAGGTTGTCAGTCAATGCTACATTCTGCTCAGCCCAAGATACGATTCTGCCACATGGTTGGCTTGGCCTAAATCCAAGACTTACACTTTTATCTGAAGGGGAAAAACAGTTTCACATAGAGTCTTGCATTCCATTTGTCAACCTCAAAGTACTTATCATCAAATTACTACTAACAAAGTGCACCACAGTCATTTCTCACCATTCTATCTGTGTGTGCATTTTGTATTCTGTGTAAAATTTCTTCAAAAGAATTCAAGTCTGCAATTGCCTTGTCCAATGTTCGTTGTCTAAGTTCCTTTCTGCGAAGCAGTTTAAGGGCCTGTAATGCAAGTAAACATAACTAAGTGGTTTTCACATCATTAATTTGTATGATGATTGACTGACAGACTGGCTAGCTGATGGACTTACTGACTGACTGACTGACTGACTGACAGACTAATTGACTGCCTGACAGACAGATAAACAGAATGATGAACTTACTGAAACAACAACTGAAAAACAGACGAAATTATTTCCAGTGTCATCTAACACTAAACCACTTCTCAAGAAAATCAAGTTATCTGACAATTTTGCTATTGCATGTGGCAAATGACGAAACTCTGAAGTGTCTAAAATGTATGCTTAAACCAACCTTTGTTCTTGAGCCTTCCTTTGCAAAACTTGCTGCTTGCAATCTACACCTTCACAAACAAGGATGATAACAATTTTTTAATACACATACAAGTACCATCCCAAATCACAGACCCTTTAGGCATAAGATCAAAGAAAAGAAAATGATATGATCATCACCTTTCAACTTCATTTGACAGTTTATTAACTTGAAGAGTTAGGCTCGCGACCCTTTTCCTGAGCCTAGAGAAAATGAATGGTAGTGCATCTGAAGTAAACTCCAGCTTAAATGCAGAGGTATTTTTTAAAACAAACAGTATTTTCAAATCTTATTCCTGCAATAATATTTTAATGTCAACTTGTTACAATTATCCCTAACTTGATACCTTACAACAATGCTATAAATACAGAATTTTTTGTAAAACCGCAAACATCCTGGGCCCAGTTTTTCACATAGGGGATAAAGTTATCCAAGGAGTACATTGCTATCCAGCAGATAAGTGTAACCAAAACATACTGTGCTATTCAGTGGACAGAGAATTTATACATGCAGTGGATAGCATTAACCACCATTCAAACAACCAGGGCCAGAAGTGCAAACTCCTGAAAATGAACTATTTGAATGGTAGGACTTGAAAGGAAAAATTGGTTGCACTGGATCAATAGGAATCTTTAAGACTAATTTAAATATATTTAACTATAGATTTAATACCTCATTCACACCAGCAATACACATTCAGTTAAACTGTGGTTAACTGAATGAAAATCAAAAACAGATAGCTGAAAAAAGGAGATTTTCCATAGCATTCAAGTAATCATGCAGTAGTTTGTATTTTCAATGTGTTAAATTCAAAGTTGACCAATATTGGTTTTAGTAGCTTTGATGAAGAAAACAGTTTATAAAATCTATTTAACAAATCAGTTTTAAAACATTGATGTGAATGGGGTACTAGTTAAAAGGAACATTTAAAAATTACAAACTTCTTCTTTAAAGCCTTTTGGAACACAGGAATAGACATCTAACCTCACAATATTGATATCATTGTCAGAAACTGCTGTCACCTTCACTTCACCTTTTCTTGCAAACTTGATAACCTACATAATTATACATTGTACAAAAGTCATAAGTTAAAGATTTTTCAGAGCAGAGATCCGGCTTCAGTAAAACACTTTCACCTCTAAGTGTGACTGGCTTCTAAAACTAAATAATTCTCCTTGAATCATATGTAAAGGTCAGGAGAATAATGGAAATGATCACCAATCTAAGGAGCTCCTGATTGTTAAACAAATTC